TAGAGATATGTGGTGGTACATTACGCATTATTTTTGGGAAATGGTTTCTTAACACTTTGTGAGCTTTATCTGGTGCGTTAATTTTTATTTTATTTGTTGCGATGCTGGAAGTTTCCCTCATGATTGATTCGGTTAAAACACAATGCGATTATTTTGGTGTTATTGTTTATTTTAGTCGAAACAAGAACATGGTGCATGTGCATATATTCTTATTCTATAAATTGAAATTTTGTAAATGAAAGAAAATTCAATAAAAAAATTCAACGAGAATTTAATTTCTGAGTTTAGATACGTGTCATTTTACTATTGGCTTTAGTAGAGCAATTTGGTCATCTTATTGTGTGGTTTATCGTGTTCGAAGTAAAATTGGAGGTCGGCAATCGGCATTTACGGTTTATGTTCCTACGTGGAAACAAATTCTACTATAGTTCCATATTTACATATTCCATGTCGGTGTTAACATTTCTTATACGGTTATACCAAATTGCCACAACATTTACAATTTATCTTTAGAAAAATTATGGTATGAATTACTCAACAAACATTGGATCTAGTGGAAGAAACGTACAAGATCAAAAATTGAAGGCGGCTGGAATCTGAAAAAAAAAAATGTGCGCAAACTAATTTTGGAGATTGATGGTAATCATAAATCTTTGGAGGTTAATACTTCAATAACCGATGACTAAATAACTTTTATGCTTTGGGGATACATATACAGGCTAATCTAGGTGATATATGTTTTTTTGGATGATGTTATGTTTAAGAAAGCTTTTTGAGTATCTATTGGTGATTAGGTAATGTATATATATAGACATATACTCTATTATACTTGGCTCTAAATCGAATATAACACACATCAAATATTTTACTAATATATAATATTTGCAACTCCTAGCTACCTAAACGTACGGTTTATAGAAGATGGCCAACTCGTCTCTACAACAAGTGAATGAAAACGTTAAACACAAATTAACTAGTTGATTCATATAAATAATATATCCATCCTAAACAATGATATAACTCCGAACATTCGTTATAACTGTCCAACAATTATACAAACCTTATTAAGGATATGGACATAATTGTTTGCATAACCTTTTCAATATGTGTTTTGTGTGAGCAGTAATTTACATGATTGATATTTGATATTATTTTATGCCTCTTGTGTTGTGTCTACGTCGGATATTGACTATTGACTCGATGACAAAACACGTCTCTACCTTTCTATTTCGTTATAGTGTGGGACCAACGTGGTCACGTTCCATGCTACAACTTCTATCCCCACAGGCCACAGCTCAACTAGAGACTTCGAATCTTTCTTAAAGTCACATTTGATCATAATGCAAAGTGTCTTTTCTTCATTACATTTTCATTTTGTTAGGTTTCATTACAAAAAGACAAACCACCAACCTTGTTATCTTTTCAATTTAAATTAGGCATTACCAAACAAATCTATATAATTTACGCATTACCAACGAATCTATTTTTTAAAAGTGTTTATGTATACATATAATAGTGGGCTCTTGTGTGAGTCAGTGTCTAAAGGCATATACTATAGCAGCTTCAATGTCCCATACTCGGTGTAGTCATGGTTTAAATTTTATTATTTTTCAAGTAGGCAGTTCATAAAAATTGATGGAAGTTTTAACCTTTTTTAATACACAAAATATGTGTAAGTATAATGCAATTCAATAAACCAAAATCAAAATAAACTTAAGTGACACCCTAGGGTTCTAATTTTCATTTTGGTATTAATAGCATTCTTAAAAAAAAATAGAAGTGCTTCTTTCTTTTTTTTGGTCGAAATAAGTGCTTTAGTTTTCAAAAGTACGGACTAAAAAAGTTGTAAAATATTGCCAATAAGCAATTACTAGCATCAAAATGATTCTAAATTTTCTAAAATAATATAAGTTTTTTTGTCTTTGCTAAACTTTTTCAATTAAAATTACAGAAAAGAGAGAAAAATTTACAAATCCAGTCCAGACTTTAGTTTAATGAGATGAGCCCATATAGTGTTACAATAACGAGCCCAAAAAAAAACTCATAGGATAAGGAACATATAAACCAAATATTAAGTTAAGGAGAGGAGAAGTCGTTTCCCAGAGAGACAGAGAGTTAGTCTTTTTGCGTTGTCTTTCGAAGCATCATCGGTGCAAGTAGCTGTAGGTTGAGCGGTCAATAATCATTGGGTTTAGGAGGAAAACCAGTATTGCAGCAACAACGAGGCTAGAGAGGGTTTCGATTGACAAATATGCTCAAGTCTCTTTAGTCGAGATATGCTCAAGTCTCTTTGATATTATTTTACTCCACCACACATTTCATTGGAGGCTTTTGGAGGCTTTTTCCAACCTAGATTCACAAGTGATAACTAAATATATTCAGACATATGTATATGAGTTTCATATGCATTTTGACTCAGTTCCAAAAGCGATGACAACACTTCAAATTAAGAAGATGTTCTAAACATGCTGAATCTTATCAACAAGTTCATAGAGCAACTGATATATCGATGAAGAAGACCGTATTAGAGTATCAATAACTCTTTTTGACCAAAAAAAAAAAAAAAA